CTTATATTTCACTTGATTTAGTTGCGATCCAGCCTAACTATCACAGTCTTTACTGCAAGGTTACATTAAAAAAAAAGAAGAAGAAAATTTGCCAAAGACTGAGCAGTGGACAAGTTTCCCTGCAACCCCCCTCACCCCCACTTCTCCTCCCCCTTTTCCCCAACACTGCCTGACTGCAGATGGGTTCTCATAAATGTCTATTAAGATTTAAATGATCAAACTTCAACTGGAAAAGAGTGTTTTGAGGACAGCTGTTCAGGCAGGGGAGTTCAGTTCACAATTGGGGGCCGTAAATGTGTAATAGCATGTTGAGCAGATTAGCCTCGAGGGAGGGCATTAAACTTTTCTAACATGTTTTTACGACATTTTGTACTAATATGCCAGTTTGGTGACAGATGTCGAGCTGTTGTTGAACAGATTTCACTCGTGCTAATGACAACGTGTAACAAAAGATGCTATGGAATTTAATAAAGATGGGCCTTTCGCAGTGATTTCAGTGTATGTACTGCGACTGTGGTGTTGCAGGGCGGGGGGGTGGGCTGACATGTCACTTGTACTTTCACAACAATACAATATTTCTGCTTGAACTGCTATAAGGACTTAAATGAGCTTGTAATGTCCATAACAATACAATTTGGAAAAGTGAATCATTATCACCTGTTCAATATATTACCTGAAATTTTCTCCAATAATTTAATTCCTCAGCATCCTACAGGAACCCTATGATAGAGCACAAACTGTGGCCAATTTGGAGGCAGACTGTATGTCCTCATGCTGAGCTTCAACCAAGCATAGGCCATTAACAGCAAGACAATTGACTAACTTTAAAGGAGGTTGCTCTAATTGCTGTGTAGGGGCAGGCATTTAGTTTGTAAGACCCAATTACCGTCACGCTGTTAGCACTTCTGTGCTAATTGCATTCATCAGCTAAAATCGTTAAACCGGCCTCTACTGTGAGTTCAATCACAAGGCAGAAATGCACATTTTTTGGAGTTTGGAAATAGCCAGAGGTTAGTCATAATGCAGGAGAGGAAATGGGTTTACATCTGAGCAGCGATGGAGAAGAAGGACTGCTGCGGTTCACACACTGTGCAGATGTGTGTGTGTGTGTGTGTGTGTGCTGCAGTAAACAGTCGACCGTCATTACAGTTGACCCCCCCCCACCCCAACCCAATATACAATATACAGAAAATAAGGGAGTTAACACTTTAACCCTTTTAAAATGCTGAGCCTTAGTAAAAACCTGAAACCTAAGGTAAAAAATATTGGGAAATTCAATATTTTACGTTTTGATTAACAAGAAAATAAAGTTCAATATTCAGTATGCTCCGTAGTGTTAGGATCAGAGTGAGTTCACTGCTGGGTCAGTGAAATCCTTTACAGTGTACTGCAGAATTTAATAAAACAATACAGTGTATAAACAGCCTTTCCTTCACCACAGTCAACGCATTTTTTCCTATAGTTTACAACCTTAAACCTACTGTTCTCCCCTGCTCTAACCATCCCCCTGTTTCCCTCTGATGGCTCCACACAGAGAATACAACCAAGGCCACACACGGGCTCTCACTGCTCATCTCTACAGCTGCCATTCAGATGTTGATAGCACAGGACATTTGATGGTTTTCTAATCTCTGTAGCTGCCACCAGGAGATGGGACGTGCTGACCCCTGTCATCCCTACAGCGCATCTCAAACAGCCCAACATCTCCATCTCAATCTCTCTCTCCGCTCGCTATCTCCCACTGCCACAGTGTCGTCCACCTGCTCTCCAAATGTCAGGACGGACGCTCGCTGGCAGCCTCCCCAGCACGTCCCCGGGGTGGCGATGACCTGCTCTGCTGCCGTTTGGTATAATGTCACGCTGTCCCTGGATAACAGCTCCACCGTGACCTGTGGAGTGAGCGACCTGATGTGTATGCTATCACACAATAACACAGATCCCCATACAGTACACAGGCTCTACTGTGAGGCTCCTAATAGACCAGCAGACTGGAGGAATGCACTGCAGCTCCTAATAAAAAAAAAAAAAATCAAATTAATGAGGTGTGAACTGCACACTGACACCTGTTGGTGTGGAACTAAACTTCCCAGCCTATTCCTTTATTTTTCATCTGAATTGCTGTTCCAGGTGCTAACTGACCTGTGAAACTGAACGTCCAAAACCAAAGGCTTGTTCTGCGGCCAATTTAGAATTTATACGACAGCTTTCATCATCTCTTTATTTCCAGGCACTATTCTTTTTATGACAGGGAAAAAAATATATACATATTTTGTATTTTTGCACATGTAGCTGTAGACTGCACCTTATTTTAACTACTAGGATGTCATAAGGTTTTAGAATATTACGCAGTTTTTAACGGAAACGTAGGAATGTCAGATTGTTTTTAAGGGACTTTTAACGAGTTTATTGCAACACATAACACAAACCATTGCTCCAAAACTGTGAAAGCTGCATTTGTGCTTAAATAACACATCACATTCTTTGCAAATATATATGTCCTCATTCTGTTCATGTGTTAAACACTAACATGAAGGTTTACAATGTTATTTATTTTTAATTAAAAATGTTTTCTGTACACATTGAGACACAACGCATAAAGCAGCCCGATGAATAATATACAAATACAAAGGGAGGAGAAATATTTACTTGTGTTGTTTAAGCTAAGTAGTCAAGCAAAATTATTTTGAATTGAAAAAACTTAAAGTGAGAAACATTGCTTTCTGGCAAAAACATTATTTTTGGCAGTAAATAATTACCAAGCCTCTAATTGCTTCCATTAACCTTTTCAACTCAAGCTACACTGATATATTTACTTTCTATCAATTTGTCTCCCGGGGAAACAACATTGAGCACAAAATGAAACACTGCAAAAGTGATTATTGCTTCAACCTTTACGTGTTTACGTTTATCTATTTATTTATCTATGTTTCAGCCGAGTTAAATATTTTCATTCTCATGCAGAGCGACACAAATGAAAAACACTTCAAACCTCCTCTAAGTAATAGAAATAAACAAACTGCAGCATATTATAATTGACTTTGTTAATGTCTTAGTCTGTTGAAAAAAAGGAGGGAGAAGAGAAAGAGAAAGGATGATTATAAAAATGAAATACTTTAGAGACTATTGTCCGTTCAGAATCCTAAATTTAATTTCAGAAAACACATATTTAAGTCAGGGAGGAAAGCTGCCCCAGTGCTTTTTTAATAATAATAATAAAAAAGACCAATTAAATGAAGCAAACTTGATAACTTTTTCCCTAAGACAAAAACTCTCCACTCCATGACTGCCTAACAAATGTAGACAGGGCTCCAGAGGACGAGCTGGTCTTGATACAGGGTTTACGTGGCCCACAACATTGAAAGGTTCACTTGCTTTGATGGAACCCCACCTCCGTAAATGGAGGGGCTAAAGAGGTTTGTTTACTGGGTCCACCTTGAATCGACCTCTGCAGCTCAGGGTACAGGCTGCGTGATCACGATAGAGTGGGGTGCACAAAACCAAACCTGGACTTTGGTTGAGTCCACTGACTACCTCACAACTCCCCCACTCTCTCTTTTTCTCATAAATCACATGAATAAGAGCACAGACGAGCAGGGCTGAGACAAATGCAAACCCAATAAGAGAGAGAGAGAGAGAGAGAGAGAGAGTGGTGTTTGGCCGAGGATTGAGCTGTTTATCCTGTATGTTTGCTGTTCAACAACAGGGATTTACCACTGCAGTGTCAGACTACACTACAGTCATTCAATGTGTTCAGCAAATATTACACAATTTGATGAGAAATATAAAAACCAAAAATTGCAATTTAAGCTAAACTAAGTTGTTTTTTTATATATAACTTTGTTATTTGAGGTTAAGAAGCTCCTGTCTCTCAACGTGCTTTTATTCACTGCAGTGGGCTTAGTAAAAAATGGTCAGGTTCAGTTCCTGCTTTTTTGTGGATTTTCTTATTTACAGGTAATTCAGTTACGATTTGCCAGTGTGTGTGAGGAAGCAGGCCGGACCCAAATGCAGCACTCTGGAGACTCACTTCAGGCTGCTGAACATTTACAAGTCCAAAAATCACAAAAACTCACTCGAAAACATGAACAGGAACAGGGAGACTCACTTCAGGCTGCTGAACTCACTCGAAAACATGAACAGGAACATGAAACAGAAGTGCAGGAACAAAAGCACAAGAAACATCACAATGAACGTAAACAATGATCCCACAAAGACAGTGTAAGGAGAGAGGTTTATACCGTATATACACAGGGCCAAACATAAGGACTCATTATTAGAAATGACTGTGTTTACAACTTTTATCCAGTGTCCCTGAGAGATGAGAACTGAAAACAGGAGTCAGGTCAACGTCGGTGTTGTGGGTCTGTAATATTGTGGGTTTGAAATAAGTGTGGAGCTCAAATGATGCAGTAGACTGCAGTCAGATTTAGATCGGGGGTGTTGATAAGAAAACTGAGAGGAAAACTGACTGGAGAAAGAAGAGATATAACTGAGAACTCTCCACTTTCTTCTTGTGAAGCTCTTGCTGCTACAGAGTGAATAAAAGCACATGTACACTCACTTAGTCAAGGTTCTGGTGGTAGAAACCGGAGTGAACTCTGAAGTGAGGCAGGTTAAAAGACATGAAGGTACATTTCATTGTAGGAAGCTGTCATTTTCTTTAAGATTAAAATACAATTCAATGCACCAGCACTATTTTTACTGGAGCTCAGGAGGCTGGAGCTGTGAGGCGGCTCCTGACAGATGTTCTTCTGTTTATGCTTGTAGGGCCTGTAAAACCCCTGTTGGCTGTAAGGAAAATTTATGTTTATAATTATTAAGAATTCAAAATAAAACAAAATGTCTGCTACAGCCAAGTTTAAGAAAAATCAGGAAGACATGGACGGATGGATGGTTCCTACGGTTGTCTGTCTGCTGCTGCGGACCTTGTGTCTGTTTTTCATTTGTTTTAAATGAATCTTCAGTCAACAGAGTATCAAGTAACACAGGTGAAGCCGTACCTATGTGACTTCTGTGTGACGATGCACTGGTCAGCTGTCCCCATAGAGAGACCATGCAGATGGTCAGCACCAACACCCTTCTGCACATGCTCTGCAGCTCCCTCTTCTGCATCCTGGAAAAAATACAAAGAAAAGAAATTAGTCATTTTTCTTTCCACGAGAGGAATAAAAAGTTGATGACGTAAAATGGCGTACACAGAATGAAAAGTTCAATAATTTATCTACACTTTTTCCAAGGGCAGTGAAGGCATCACTGGCTACACTCTACCTATTTCGGGATGAGTTAGCTAAGTGAGGTTAAGGTTAAATGTCTGCTATTGTGGGAAAAGATTCTGGTAAGTTAAGTTCAGAGAAGTTGATTATGTGAAACAGAGTCATTATAACAAAACACACGAGGTGGCCACGCCCCCCGACTGACCACCATTGTAAGGAGCACTGCCCTTGGACCGTGGGCCGCTGGTTGAAGACCAGCCCCATCAACGTTAGCATCATGTACTTTATAAATTCACATGTGACTACTGCACCAAAGTACTTTGTTTACCAAGTACCACGAATGAATCAATCAGGTAATTTACTGCATGCTGGCGGAACATCATTTGAGAACCCGTCCACGTGTAATTACAACAATATGCTCTGCATGTGTTGTAGGTGTCTCGCAGACACATTCAGTGGTAATTTTATAAGCAATAAACAAACTGCAGTTTATAATACCAATTTGGATGTGGAGACAGAACAAATGAGGTCTGTTTACACTCTGTCTACACCACCTCCCCCTCCACCCTCCCACCCACTGTCATCCTGCTACCTGGGAGGTGACTAATGCTGTTTGTGCGGTCTGCCTAATGTGCTCTGCTCAGTAATCTTCTTGTACTTTCACGAGGTTTGTGTTCCGTAATTCTCTCCATCACCATCTGAGAGAGGCCCGTGGAGACCCAAACCAGCAACGCAATCAGTGGCTCATCTCACTGCCAACAGGGCTGGCAGTCCGCCTCCTCTGTCCCCTGAGGAAACAGCCACCACTCACATCCCTGCGTTGAGCTGTGTTCCAGTGAAGCATCTCCAGTGAGTAAATGCTTGGTTTCATGCGTAAAGATCAACGACTGTTTGTCTGATGAGGTGAACATGTGAGAGGACTCTTGAGCTGCGGCCGTCTTTGTACCGACAGCCAGAGCAGAGTGGCGATGTAATGCTCTGTGATGTGCTATCATCATGCAGACCAGAAGCAAATGTACTGTAGTACTACATCATACAAGTATTTGGTTGGTTGGGAGGAATTTAAAAAACAGTTTTTGTTACATTTACAACAATAATTGTTCCTGGTGACGTGTAAAAACTGTTTCTTCAGTCACTGACTCCAGGTGAACGTCCAGTTTATTCTGTTGAGTTTTTCTTCACAGTAAACCATTAATAATTAAAAACAATTACACCTTAACTTTAACAATCCACCAACAAATACTTTCGCTTTCAAAGTCTACATTGTGGCCATCCAACAAGGAGCAAAACCACAACTGCAACTGTCAACAGTCCCAACATCCAGCCATGGTCGTGTGGCACAATCGGCCTTTATTGTTATAATTTAATTTTCACAACATTGCCACCTTCAGCAGCTGACGCTCTAGGTGATCGTCCTTGTGGCCTACGACAAGAACTGACACCAAAGCAAGCACATTCACAAATAAGTATTGTTCCAAAAAGAAGTACAACATTTGTCTCGGGGCCAATCAGATCTAGAGTAAGAATATGATCAGTGATGTCTGTGAATTCAGTGACTGCTGCTCCCCGTTTGTCTCATGTTCGGTGTGGTACTGCGTGCTGATGTCCAGCGTGGGAGCAGCCTTCTTACCACCAGAGAGATCTGCTGATATTGAAATGTTCTAAATGATTTCTGCCAATGTTTGTTGGTGGAGAACATTGTCCAAACACAAATGTCTCAAGGTCCTTCACTGAGCTCCAGGCATTCAGGGTTTTTTCATCCGGCTCCTGCAGAATATTTTGTCACCAAAGAAAACAAATCGTGCTCAGTTCAAGTGTTGGATTTGATCTTGTCCATTAGGAGCAGGTCAGGTAATTCAACTCCCACATTTACAGCTGCAGTCTCCGTGTGTGTTTCATGAACCCACACACTCCACTCCTGACGTCCAATCACATCCACTGGTTTTGTGATTACATAAAAACAAACTTTTGAACCTTTTTTAATTAGGGCCAAACAAAAACAAAGCGATGAAAACATTCAACACAGTACTACAAGGTATTTACCTTCAGTTACTGCTAGAAAACAAAAGATAAAACACAATTATGAATAATTCTCTTTTACAGCTGAACTTCAAAAACAAATTCAATGTTAAATTCAACACCCAGCAGTGAGTTTCTCAGTATTTGTGGATTTGTTTCCTGGTTTTATTCCTGACCAGATTTGAATGAACTTCAACATGTGATGTCACACTGTGTTCAGGTGGCTGGAAAGATTTAACTTGAAGATGATCCAACTTTACAGAGAAGCTACTGAGAGCAGGTGGTTCATCACTGCACGGTCTGACAATAGTTAATATACTGAGGGAGTGTGTGTGTGTGTGTGTGTGTGTGTATTTTCAGATTATATCTAAATGAAATTGTAAAGGTAAATGACTGAAGAACTAGTTCATATGGGCGTCAAAAAAGTCAAACAGTTCTAAAACAGGTGTTTAATTAATCCAAGGGTGTCTCATTTATTAACTGAGACATGTTAAGACATGTTCCAATTGTGTCTCTGTCAGCATTGACAAGTATTCTTATCAACCCTTTTCAGCTTCAACTCCTAAAAATGAACAATTTTGAAACAGTGAAAATTTTCTCCCAAATGTGAATAAAAACGTGTGGTAAAATATGAAAGCTTTAGTTTTAGGACTAACAGCCTGCCTCTCAGATCTGACCATCAGACAGTCAGGATTAAAACCTGCTGAAAACAACCTGTAATCCAGTGTCTGTGCAGTGAACTAGATTAGCAAAGCTGCATCAGTCCAGCTCAGCCTGATCACAGCAGTAGGTTCAGCTCTAAAACGTACCTTGTCAACCATCGCCCAGTGTAACGAATGGCTGATTTATGCAGAACATCTTGGTGCTGTCCATGGTGCTGAATCACAGCAGAACCCAGAAGTTAATGGTGAGCAGACAGTGTAGACACAGACTTTACTTATTTGATGTCTGCAGGCAATGTTATGAGTTTCTGGTCAATAACCAGCAGATTGGTCACATGTTGTGTTAAATTTACACATGTATTTGTCAAATGGCACAAATACATTTCAATGGCAGTCACAAGGTTAGATTTTCTACGGCCACTGGTGGCAACAAATCATATGAACTGTGATTGCTAATGAGGCTAATATGTAGCTGATACATGAAATGCACATTCACTGCAGCTTCCATTCTACAACATTCAGATACCGCCTTGTAACAGTCGTCAAGTGTGACACAGGAGCGGGGTCTTGTGGTGGCTGCCATGGTTGAATGTCAAAACAGAACCTGTGCGTTTTGTATTCATGTCACCCATTTTAATTACCTGTTAGCAAAATATGACACGTTGCCAGTGATGCACTGCAATTACTGTACACCGCAGGCAAGGCCTTTTTTTGTTTTTGTCTTTTTGTTTTTATCAATTAAGCTGACACGGAAAACATGTAGGAAGTCGGCAGAGATGAATAAAACCTTCTATCACAACAAAAGACTTAGAGAAGTAACTGCTGCAGAAAACAGTCCATAACAAGTCTGTCAAAACCAACTTTTTGTCAGAGAACGGTGTTATTTCTCTGGGTTTTGCTTTTGTTTTTGTTTCTTTTCCCTGGCTCTCTCCTGCAGTGCATCTTTGAAAGATGTCTGATTTCATCCAGAATTATCAGACGAGGAACAACTATTTCCTGTTTTCACCCACCTGTCATTAAAGCTCGGTCTTTTCTTCACAATAAGGCTCTCTGATTGTTACAGCGAGCCTCCAGTTTTGGCTTTGTAGTAGTTTGTTCCCTTCTGGGTTTTTAGAACTTTTAATTTATGATATTTCTTTGTAGATGGAACATCTTTGTCATTTGCAGTTTTTTGCAGCACATCTTTATGTCTGATGTATCAGGCTGTCTACACATAATACATTTTACAAAATAGGTTGTTTCTCAGTTAAAAATATGTTTAATAAATCAATGGCATTTTAATTAAAATGTTTATTTAGTTTGATGGGTTAATCACTAATAATCCAGGTGAAGTTAAAGAAGAAAATTGTTTATTTTTCATCTCTTCCATTTCTCATTTTTTCTACTGCATTCACAGATTACTTCGAACTCACAGTACAATTACTTCTATTATAGAAGTCGAATCTGTTATTTCTGGCTCTGAACCCTGTTGTCTGGTCTGTTGTGGGCTGGTTAACATTTTTTGGGTGTTGGAGGAGACAGCCTGACATTAAATGTTCATCTAGTTCCTTCCACAGATGTTTCTTCTGGCAGAGCTCTGTCTTCATGTCACTGACAAACTCTTCTGGCTTTGTCCATAAAAACGTGACTTTTTTTTAGCAGCGTGACAGATGACTTCATGCTGTTATTGCATCTCCAACAAACTTTTCTTTGTCAGAATGAAGTGAAGCAGGTAATGTTCCCAAGGCATTGTATCTGCCACTCCTTCTGCTGTTTGTTTTTGGCCCTGGCTGTCTGCCTGATGATCACCTCGCTGCCTTTTTGTTTTCCACTGCCAGACTCTTCCAGCCACATCTGCCAACACTCATCTCCAATCATCTGCCCACATTCCTGGATTCAAATTCTCAGAGCTCAGAACTTTTTACAACATCAGCCCTGTGAGAACCAGGAAAAAGTTGAACAACACAAACCAAACGTCCATGGCTGACTGTATATATACAGAGTCACTCTGCATGTAAAGTGGTAAAGGGATGTAAGGAGAAATACAATGATCCTGTATTTGTAAGAACTTACCAAAAATACCATCACTAACTGAAATTGTCTGTTCTGTGTGCACACTCACATCACATTTATCTCATTAAAAATCAAACTGGTCTGGTCTTATTTTCCTTGCTAACTGTTGACTTATTAAACAGCAAATTCATTTTTAAAAACATTAATATATGAAAATATATAAAAAC